TGGTCACAAGCCACATATGGGTTGCAGCTATATACTGCAATGTTCCACATCTCTATTTTGAAGCAAGCCCCGCTGAGTTCAGCAGGACCTACTCCTTGGCATGTGATAGAATTGTAGCCTTAACTCTTCTTACGAAAAAGAGCACTACTCAGGTTAAAGACATTTGCTTGCTTCAGTGAGACTCTTCCAGCATCCCTAAAGAATTATATGACCTGTCCTCCATTTCAGTTTAAATATTCTGCTGCTCCTGTCCTATTTTGCAGATAGCCATCAAGGCTGTATACAAGAACTTTGTTTTGTTATATATATACACATACATACATACATACATACATACATACATACATACATACATACATACATACATACATACATACATACATACATACATACATACATACATACATACATACATATACATACATACATACATACATACATACATACATACATACATACATACATACATACATACATACATACATACATACACACAGAGAGAGAGAGAGAGAGAGAGAGAGAGACTAGCTTGACATGGGTGGGGCACAGCCCAGTCACAAAGCATTTACAGAAGGCCCCACGATCAATGCTTGATATCTCAAGGATTCAGAAATCATTTTGTTAGATTCCTAAGAGAGTGGTGGCTGATCAAAGCAAATGATATTGAGTCAAATGAACTAATGAACTGACCAGGATATAAGGCAGCTTCATGAATGGATCCCCACTACTGCATTAACATTTAGATTATCTTTTCAGATATCTTAAGTTGTTGATTTCTCCACATTTCATTTAAAGAATGTAGTACACCGTATTCTGTAATCCAGAAATATAATCTGTATATATCTGATTTAATATACATATTTATATATACTGTACACACACAGGTTTATATCCAACAGTGATGAACCAAAGACCTTTTGCACATGAACAGGTAGAGCACATGTGTATAACCATGTAACAGGATCAGATCAGGCTGAAGGAAACCTCAAGAATTATACTGTATGCCGATCCCATTTTTTGCAACTGATGATCAGTTTTCTGGTGACACATATTTCATCTGGCAACTACACTGGTGATCTCATAGCAATAGCTTCAAATCACCCACATGTTTTCTTCAACTGCCAAGTGTAAAAAAAACATAATGAAAAAAATATGTGGTGAATGGGTTGGTGAGTGAAATACAAAAGCCTGGGAAAGCCCTCATACTAAGCTGAGAAGAGGTATGAGGTCTATCCAACATCCAGAGAGAGATGCTTTACTACACAAACTACAGTGTGAGGAGATGCCTGAGGTGCTGATGGAAGGGATCTAATCACAATAAACCTTTCCATTCTTGGAGGACCAGGCTTAATAACTCTTTCAATTTGCCTTTCAAGCTAGCATCTTAAACTTTATTTTGCATAAAGTTCTCTGAATGTTCACAGCTTAAGCCAGGGTCACTATCAGGCAGTGCTGCTGTACACATTGGAATTACACTGCACAGTCCTGCAGCACAATGTGGCCACAGGACTTCACTACACACATTATGAGAAGCAGTACTATCTTAAGAGAGGGTACCAAGTTCTACAAAGTTTTGCACTCTTCCATCCTCAACCCAGGTAGATTTCTTCAACTGCTTTGACCCTGTGGTTTCTCCAGCCCACCCCTGCAAAACACAAGAGATCTGCAAATATTACACATGGAGGCCATGTGGCTTCTATGAAAGGGCTGCACTGAATTAACACATCATTTCACCCTGTTCCACAGACCATAAAAAACCAAAAATGATCTGAACAAGTAACAGCACACTTCAGAATTTAATACTCACTGAATTTAGGTTTAATTCCACAAGAGGGCAAAAAGGAAGCCAAAGAAATTAGGTAACAGTGCTTCCCTTCCCTCTGTTAGATGACTGCAATATGATTACTGATCAGTGATGATATACACTGTGTCCCACCAGGGTCAATCCTAAAGAAGCCTATGAAGAACTGAAAACTACAGAAATGCGCAGAGAGCATAAAAATTAGTCAAGGTCCATGGCAGGTTAAGTAGGCTTATTAAGATGAGAGTTAATCAGAAGCTACTAGGCAGAAAATATCAGTGCCAGAGGGTGAGAAGCCAGGGACTAGAGTCAAAGCCAAGGGCAATGAAGAACTGGACAAGAGGGTCAAGGTCAGGTGCTAAGAGCTGGATTGTAGCCAGCATGGAGCCTAAGGGCATGATGCAGATCAAAGGTGAAGTCTAGGGCATAGAATGTTGTAAAGGTGCCTGCACACCTCCTGTTCCAACTCAGATCAATGGGAAGAATTAATAAGAGTTGGCCTAGTATTTAAGTGGAAGTCCTTCAATAAAGCCAGATGTTGGTGACTTAAAATGTTCAAATGCCCCGCCAATTTAAAAAACAGTCATTTATAGACCTATCTTTAACAACAATGCAAGGAAAAAATCACTTCCACTAATACATAAGGACTATGTGCAGAGAGACTGAGACAGACAATAGCTTCTCACATTGTGCTGGTGTTTATCTCAGAATTCATGAGCGGTATCTTACTGCATGCAGGGCTACTGTTAGAAGTGAGACTCAGGTGCTCCAATTCAATCTTTTGAATTCAAATCAGTGTTGGGAGGAAGTGCTAAACAACTGCAATGTGTTTGTGATATATAAAAAGAAAGTGTGTCAATCAGGCATTTAGCAATTACACACATGCAGCTGCATTGTGTAGGTTTAATCTGTATTCCTAAGAAACTTCGTCTGCATATTATGCACATTTACCTAGAAGTAAATACCACTGGACTCAACAAATCTTATATCTCAATGAAGAAGAAATTTATTGGCTGAAATCCTATTGCTTAGTGTAGAAAGTTGCAGTAGAGCAGGCTCACTGAATCAATGAGGATTCAGTGAGTCAACTTTTCTGTAAATTCCATTATTCAAATGAGTGTATTGTAGTTGTGACTTACTTTAGCAATAATAAAGTACAATTTTAGTCCTGTCTGAAACAATGGAACTCATAGAGGAATTGACTCAACAAATCTCCATCAATTCATAGGCCTACTCTATTAAAATTAAGCAACAGGATTTCAGCGACTGAATTGCACTATAATTTGGAAACAAATTTCACTCTGTACAACAAGAACTACAGTACTTTGAAGCTAATAAGCTTACAACAGGAGAACAAGTTGTATTATTTTATATTTGTTTTATGGGAAATTGCTCTACAAACTGGAGCTTCAGGAAAGTTGTATGGCATCAGCCAATACACAAAATGACTCTTTTCTATGCCCCTAGACAGACACATAGCTGTGGTTTGTTTTGTGACATATGTGGTTCAACAGGCATTTACAGCTGATTGTTTGCTACTTGAGAATTCATTATCCTTGTTTTGGAATGTAAGCAAGTCTTTTTCTACTTCAGTAAGCTCAGAAGCCTGTCTGGTGGGATCAAATGAACATTTCCCAACTGTACAAACTGCACAGACTTTTAAAAATTACAACTTCACAGGCTATATTTATCATTCTACTTTCAAGTCTATTGCACAATCAATAGAAAATGTTTCATAGGTAATGAATTCCAAAAGTGTGTACAATAATTCCTAAGAATTATTAAACATTGGGACGGATCCAATTTTAGTCATACTTAGAGAAGACTCAGTGAAATCAATGGGGATCCAAATTTAATCAGAGTAGACTCATATATATCAATGCAAAGTGTTAGTCATGAGTAATACGTCCCACTGATGCCAATGAGCCTACTGCAAGCATGACTAAAAGTGGACCCAACCCATTAGGTTTTGGGGAAAGCTGGCTCTGAAATGTATTCCACACTTGCTTAACTTAAAGAACTTTAATCTGAAGTTCATTGAGGTTCACTGAAGTTTAGGCTTTAATAAGCATGTTAATTTTTATTTATAGAGCTTTTGTATATAATTGTACTCAACAATGGCTTGCAATAGAAATAAACATACAATACCTTCTTAAAAACAGTAAATATTTTAAAACAAACTACACTATTAGAAAATACAGGAAGCAGCTAACAAAAGGAAATTTAACAAACACAGGATTGTAATGTCATTCTTCACCCACATGCAAAACTCTTCACAAAAATCCACCCAACTTGTTACCTTTTATTTTAAATCAAGCTTTTGGTTTATGTAAATGTAATGTAACCCCAATCAAGCCAAGACCTGCAATAACCTAAGGCTAATTTTTCCTTTTGATAACAGAAAAGTCTGTGCATAAAAAAAATGTAATTTGTACAAAGCAAAAGAAATCTTGATACTCTCAGTTTTCAACAATGGCCCACTAAACCTTCCCTTGTCCCAGTCCATTTCCTCCATTTAGAACCCTGATATCTGCAACTGCAGGTGACATTCTGGCATACTGCTTTAAAGTGAGTAACCAATATAAGAAGTATTGTCAAATGCAATCCTGGAAAGCAAAACACAGAAATTACTTTGTACCTGGTGTGCTTCTACTCCATAAATACAGTCAATGTGATAGGATATGTTTGTCCACTCTGTGCATTAAAACTGTTTTTTCCAAAGATATGGAAATAAAACTTTAAAAAAACCCAGAAAACTTTGCTGCTATGTAGCAAAAACAAGTTACATTGTACTTTTGTACAATATTGCACAAAATGAAGTGGGTTGTTGTTTTTGTTTGCAAGTAGTAATGCTGACTTTTAAAAACCATGGTCATCAATATGCTGAAAAGCTGCCTTTTCAAAAAAAAAATATTTTCATGTTGTAACCAATGTGGTGTATTAAAGAATTCTTCTTATTCTGAGTAACCTTAATTTAGGAAAAGATACTTGAGGTTTCCATTCAAATTCCCTGCAAATGGAAAATCTAACTCACAAGGACTTTTCAAGTGCATTATCCATTGCACAGCAGATGCACAAAATCAGAATAGAGGCATTTTTAAAGGATCACACTAACATTTGTTGGGAAAAGCATGTCAAATTATTATTTGTAACAAAACCAAGAATTATTAAAACATTTACTGGAACAATTAATTCTTACCATTCTCAGATTCTATTAAGACTTTAGACTGCACTTTTTGTCTGCAGCTCGAACAGAATGCTCTGCAAAAGATTAAAATGTAAACAGAAAAAGAGGGGAAACTCAAATCTTATCACACATAATAAAAACAGAAAATCTGCCAAACTGCAAGTAAAACAAGCAAATTTATAGTTAAGAAGATCAAAGAATTGCAAATGAACCCACCCACATGTTCTTCATCCATCACTGTTCTCTACACTTTAGCAGGCTACAGCCTGAAATATAAAACAAAGGATTCCCTGATCCTTAGATCTGCAAAACCTCCCTGCTATTCTTAGCACAGCACATCTTTGAAGAGCACTGTAACTAATGCTTAACCCACTTTAAAAAAATCAGACAAGACAAAAATAGTGCATTCTCTGCCAGCTATATACCTTGCCCATTGTTCTCTGTATACTACCAGCTGTTCTCACCCTCGCTGAAAACAGCAGTATTACAGTCACACTTTCACAACGTAATAGCCCAGAGAGGGATATTTTTGGAAATGGCACTGCATTACATAACCTCTAGCTCTCTCTCTCAAGCACAAAGCACAAGCTAGCACTTCTTCTTTAGGAATATTAACTTTAATAAAATTTTGCCCAAGAATTAAAGTCAGTTTGTTGTGAAAGCTACAACTGATCTGCAATTTGCAAAATGACCACTTCCATTATTCCAAAAGGATTCTCATTTTTCCCCTTAAAAAATGAGCTCCAGTTTGCAGATTTAAATTTACTGTATTTTTAGCTTCCTTGCCAAAGGTTACAGCAATGTTGATAAACTTAGCTAGAACAAAAGGATACAAAATTGTGTTTTTTAAAAATAAAAAGCTGCCCCGAGGGGAAATGATTATTCAATAGGAAACAATGTTTCACCCTAATACAAGTCATAGTATTAACAGACACACACACAAATTACCGATTTTTTTTTTAAATCATTTCAGGCTTAACTGCTGCACATGTAAACTTGTACAAGGCTGCTGCAGGAAGAATGTCGGTTTCTAAAAATACACCCTGGGCAAGGCAACCATTAATATCCCAAGCCTCAAAATCCTCCTTTTGCGCAGAAAGACAAAGAGTTAAGTACATATGTTGCACTTTCTAAAACCTCTTCACACAGCCGCCTTTTGGAAACATGAAGCAAGACAGAAGAATGAAAGGGGGGGAGGGAGAGAGAATCCCAGCGCCCCAGTAGAGGAAAGAGAAAAAGAACGAGGGGAACGGAGAGAAATAACTCGGAATGGAAAGGAAACAAAGAAAAGAGCAGGGAAGAGAGAAATATGTTGAAAGGCTCTGCATTGGGGAGAAAGATGTATATACTTACAGACAAAAGCACTTTCTCCCCTTCTGTCTTTTCTACATGATCTGAAACACAAATGTGGATTTTAAAAGGGCAGCATGCTACAGAAGGGAATTTATAGAAGGGGGAGGAAGGAAGGGAGGGGAAAAGAGTGGGCTGGGAAGGGGGTGTGGGGAGAAATGACTGCACCTCTTTGAGAGTGCAGCCTTGGAAAATGGGAGGGGGGAGAGAAAAGAAAGGGGGGTGGCTATCAGGGGAAATCTCTCTCTCTCTCTCAGACTTCGTTTGCCAGTGCGGGTTATATTGAACAATGAGCTAATTCTGATGGTAGCTGGCTGGGTGCCAAGCTCTCCCCTCGCCCCCTTCTCTCGCGCGCGCACATAGGCGCACTCAAACAAGCGCGCGCACACATACATGCACACACGCGCGCGCACACACACACACTCTTTCTCTCGCACACACCCTCCTCGCCCCTTTGCTGCTGCTGCTGCTGCAGAGCCAGACTGCTTAGTCTGCAATAATCTTGCGCTCCCAGTAACCCTCCCCGCTCCGGCCTCCTCTTGTCTAGCAGCCGGAGAGCCACCCGACCAATCACTGGGCTCGGGCCGGGGAATGCTGACAACCGAGCAGCAGCAGCAGCAGCAACAGCAGGAGAGGCGGGGCAGGGGCGAGGGAGGGGGGGGGAAGCTGAGGACTCCAGCTCCTCTTTGTCTCCCGCCCCCCCGCGCGCGTCTCCTCGTCTGCCTCCAGCACCACGGCTGCGCCCGGAGGCCCTACGTTTGCCTCTCCTTGCCCG